ACGAGTCGTGAAAATGGACCAGTTAGAATCACGCAGTGCGTGAGCAGACCACGTTTCAATATTGGGCATAAATCAAAAATATCAGTGACAAGCTCACTGCGACTTACTGCTGTGGGAGGATAACCAGGCCTTAAGCCTGATTCTGACAAAGAAACTATGGCAAGATTTGAAAACAGACTTTCCAAAATTCAGAATCGAACAAGACGACTCTTGAAGCTCAGATATTAGTCAAATTCTATCCAATTAATTCTCTTTCCTCAAGATTTTTTAAACAACAAACAAGGGGATTCTACAATATGCACTGATGACATCAAAAGTTCTTTGTTTAAATTTACCATCAAGTCTGTCTTGTACTTTCTTGTAGAGCAGGCATACAAGTGAAAAATAGTTAGTAGGCCATCCTCAATCAAAAATAAATCACACCACGCACCATCCTGCTCCAAATACCTTGCATGGACAAGTATGCTGCTCTTATTGAGTCAGTGGAAACCCTGGATGGTTGTACCTGCCAAATTCAGGGATTCTCATCTTATGCTTACCTTCCGTAATCCTTCCGCTTCATATCCGTGGAGGTTTGCATAAAGCGAATGGTGCCTCTTTCCTAACAGTGATGCCTTTAAAGGGGGAGAAGTTGGGATGTCCTTGATCATTAGCCCATGCTGCTTATCTTCCTGGCACGTGAGAGTTTGTGTCACTTCTGGGCTCTCCATGTCTGTGTGTCAGTGCAGGTTCAGGCAAATCGCTCAGGTTGTACATCCCTCTGCTTAAGCAACAAGCAGCAGAGGAGATCTCTGTGACCGAATAATGCCCACGACTAGATTCAATCCACTCACTACATCATCACTATAGATTGAGAAGAAAAAAAACTGTTGTCCCATTCTGCCAATGCTCAGAAGAAGAACATGTTTCACAGCAGTGAAGCGTCTAAAATCAAACAGAGTGCTTTTATGGATGTCAGATGTTAAACAATAAATGTATTAATAAAAACATGGAGTAGAGGTTGACGGAGCCTGGTGGTCTCATGCAGTGACGATCTCCAAAATGAAGACTTTCAGTTCTGTTTTTCTCATCCCGGCTCTAGAAAGCGAGCAACTGATTGTCGTGGCGCCGTACTAATCCTTTGCTCGTTATTTCAAACATTTATGACAAAAACTAAGGTCCAACCATGGCTTGTTTCATTTCTTCTCTGTGATCTCGGAGCTTCAGCAGGGACAGAGACCAGAACACACACAGGCTCGCTTTTTTTCCCATGCATAATTTTGAAAGGGCTCATGCAGGCCCCGATGAAAACACAGACAGGACTAGATTAACACTGGAAAGCATGAAAACAAATAGAAACAGTCTAACTAACAGGTCTCCTTTCCAGTCTCCGTTCTTGCAGCGAGGCTGGGATGTGGGAGGCACGGTGACTCCTCGGCACTGTCGTCACCGATGCGTCCGTGTCACAAAGCATCTTAATCCAAATTTAAACGAGGCTCGACAGGGCTGCTTAATCCCATTTTATTTACGACGCTCTAAAGGTAAGGAAGGAGGACGAAGAGGAAAATGAGTGAGTCTTAGACTGCAAGTGTCGATGAGAGGAGGGGGTAGGGAGTTCTGCTCCCCTCATCCTATCACAAAAAGGCAGGCTTCGAGAGAGGACCCAATCATCATGGCAGCTACAGCTCGTTTCCATGGAGATGACGCTGGAATGATGGTGGCTGCATATTGATTGTTGAAAAGGCAGAGGGCACTGCAACAGAGGGAGGCAGGCAAAAGAACAAGTGTGCCTCATCCAAACTGATATTTTACTGCAGCTCTTTAGTTTGTTCTTCAAAAAGACAAAAATAAAACAAGACGATCCCCTAATGGAGCTCAGTTTCCTGGAGAAGTTTTAGAAATGCACATGAGGAGAATGTGTGTAAACGGCCCAACTAGGGAAGGTAAAACCCTTAAGCTTGGCGAGTTATTCTACTAGTTTCAGAGCAAATTCAAAGCAAATTCAAACTGGTTAAGTAACATGTTATATCAATCCAAGGAGAGAAGTAAATCATCTTTACACTGAAATAAATCTGATGAACAACTTCAATACTTTTCTAAACTGAAAAACTTTTTTCTTCAGATAAAAAAAAAAACACAAAAAAACTTTTAAAAAGCATTAAAGTTTGCAAAAACCTAAATGACCCATGGACGGACGGACGGATGGATCGATGGGTGGGCGGGCGGACAGATGGGAAAATAAAAATGGAAAAATATTCCATTAAATAAATAAATATCCCCATGAATAAAACAAAAAATATTTTTAAATATTTTTATCAAATTTTATTTTATTATATTTCAAGAATTTTAATTTATACAAATATTTATCTAAAAAAAATTACTAACATTTATGATCAGCTTAGCCTCAGTGACCCCACCAAGGTTTAAAGCGGAAGAAAATGGATGGATGGATGTTCCAACATACGACTGGGAGGAAGTTCCCCAATAAAAAAAAACAATGCCAAAAAAAAAATGAAAAAGTTTGGAAGAAAGTTAAAGTTTCTATTGTATCCTACTGTAAACATTTGTACAGCTTTTTTTCCTCTTTCCCAAAGTTTTAATTTATTGCTCTACTGTTAACAGCAACATCAGCAGCAACTCAACCAACAGAATCATTTGGATGATCAAAGATAAAGGCGGCAGCACATATGCCTGCTTATATCTGCAGATTTGTCTGTCAGGTTTAGGTCTGCTCAAACAGAAAGGCTGCTAGTCAGCACTTTCCAGTCAGCTTTGATGCCCAGATGAAGCAAACAAACGGGCAGAAAGGGAGCCACATTCTAGCCCATCAGGATCAGAAACATTGACTTCCCGTCACTCAAACAATCTTTTTTACACAGCCTCCTCCGCAGACTAATAAGTCAGCTGTCAGTCAAATACAGGCATAACATTTAACTAAGAGGTGGTTTTTAATCGGCCTTACAATATAAACTATTGAATTAGTAACTAAATTTCACTATTTTTAAAAGACGTAATTGGAAACTTTAAATGATAGTGGCTCTTTAGTTAAACGTTTATTCAGATTTTACAGAAATGGTTTAAGCTGCGATGATATGCTGAATTTTCTCTTTTTATAATCCAAAGCGAGCTGACCCACTTCTGCCACTCACAAATGTATCATAAAAGAGCCACCAGCAGCTGTGCTCCCTGCACGCAGACACAGATTCAAAAATAAATATATTAGCCACCAACCCAGTAATCGCGCTTCGATAGCTCAGAGTGATCAGTTTATTGCTTTTCATTTTCAGATGTTGCATCCTAACTAATAAACTAGCTCACTGAATGATACCAATCTCTGAAAATATCTACTTTTTTGTATTTTCATTATTGTTGTTAAACCTGATCATTTTACAAGATTGTTTCACACCTTGAATTTTGTTGCCTTTTATATTACGGTCACCTCCCAGAAAACCAGATTGAAAACAAAGCTAGTTTTTGAAAAGAAGTAATCTCTCCACTTTATTATGAAATTTAAGAGGGAGAAAAAAATCAATTAACCGGATTTGGCAGGAAAAAATATATTTATATCGGATATTAAATATTTTAGCTAGATTTCTGGCCTTACTCTTGACTAACAATATATCAAGAATACAGCTATCGATAGACTTTTAACACTGAAACAACATGGCCGAACCTTGTGATGAAGGGCACAAGGTAACTCCATATTTTGATGCTTTTTTAAGTGATTTATTCAAACGCTTTTTTGTGGAATTAGTAAACTGCATAACCAAAAATAATGCAACTAACGATTGTTTTACAAATCTATTAATCTGTAAATAATTTAGTTGATTAATTGATTAGTAATCGGATAGCAAAAGGTTCCTTAAAGAAAATTTTTCTTGAAATCAAACCAGGTCAAACTAACTAACTTTTCCATTTGAGGAGTTTCGTATAGAGCATACTGACAGATGAAAAAGTTTTATTTTTCTTAAATGCAATAAAATGCACATATTATTTTTGCAATCTTGGTATAATTGCTGCTGAAGGTGGGTTGATCTGTCAGCTAAAGGCATGTTTTAGTCTCTATACTCCAGTTAATGTTTAATCCATAACTAAATTAATTGACGATTATTTCAATAACCTATTGATCAGCATAAATCCGATTATTTTTTTAAGCCCTAAATATTTGACACAATAATTTCTTTTTTTGAGTGCTTCAGTTTTAAGCCTTTGTTTCAACTTTATTTTTTTCGGTTTCAGCCCAGAATTTTAATTTCAGTGCATCTCTAGTCTTGACAAATAAAAATGTTGCTAACATTCATGCAGACCAATAGAAACGTGTCTTCACTTTGCACTCCAGTAGAAAGCCCACCCCCTGAAGTGAAGATAATGTTTACTCATGTTTTCTCAGTTAGCTCGCTCCTAATGATGTACCACTGGTGATGTGGTCTCTTTATGGTAAATAACAAAACAAACTCGAGTATACCATTAAATAGACACTGAAATAATGTAGAACACTGAATTAATTTATTCTAAATTTAATCAGAAATTCTCTAAGTGTAACTATAGGGATCTATAGGAGTAGAGATCCAAAACGCTGGAAAAAATAGAAATCTAGATGAGTCATTTTTTCTTAAAATAAGTGCATTTGTTCTTGGATTGAGGAGATAAAAGAGACATTTAGCCAATGGAGTAAGATAATTTATACTTAAAATAAGAAAACACAATTGCATTGTGTTATTTCAAGTGCATATTATCTAATTATCTTATTTTAAGAATAAAAATACTCATTCCATTGGCAAATCATCTTATTACCTACTCTAATTAAGGATAAATACACTTAATTTAAGAACTTTTTACTTATTTCTAGATCGTTTTTCCAGTGGATGACTTGCTCTCTTTAATAAATGTAAGACAAAAATCTATTTATAACCTTCAATTGCACAAAAAAACCACATACAATCCTGTCCACCTCTATGTGTACTGTGTGTTTAAGGGGTGCATTAAACGCCACATTTATGTGTGAAGATTCATAAACTCACCTCCATGTTTCTTTTGGTGGCTGTGGTGGATGAGGACTCGTCTGATGAAGAAGACTCAGCACAGAGCGATGGGCGGTGTTCCTGAAGTGCATGGGTGGAGTTGTGGGGTTGACAGATTTTCAGCGATCTTAACTGACCGCCACCTGTGACTGGCCTACAGGTGCATGGCCCAGCAGTGTGGAAGCTGATGGTTGAGGGCTGCTTCGTCTGGTCAGGTTTGGACTTTCTGTAGTATGGGGGTAAAACTCTCTGGGTGTTGGAGCAGGTCTGGAGTCGTCTTGGCTTCTTTGAGAAGCTCCTTGCGACGTTGCTTTGAGGTCTTGAACTTTGAGTGCACTGCAACAGCCTCCCATGAGCCTCTAGAAGGCGGCAGAGGAAGACGGCCTTTTCCAGCTCAGATCCTTGCCTATGATGAAAATGATAACTTGCCTGCTTCCCGTTTATCTTCTCATAAAGTATGAGGAGAAAGTTCTCCAGCTTTGAATGTCCACTGCTGAGATCAAAGCCTGTTTTCCCTGCAGACTTCACCTTGCTGTGTTGCTCTGTGTTTTTAATCGTCCTCTCTTCAGCCAAGAGATTTCTACCTCGGGTTCGCCTGGCCGCCAGCTCCCTCACGGCCCTCTCGTGTTCCTGCTCTGCTTCTTCTCGTAGGCGCCGAAGCTCTACGCCAAGCTGCCCGCGGGCCCACAGCGTTCGGATCTCTTCTGCCTCCAACTCTGCTTGCAGGCTCTCTAGCTCTCGCCGGTAGTCCGCCTGGTTCTGGCATGACCTCTTAGACAACAGTGCCAGAGGGTTATCCCTGTCCTCCCTCATGCTGCCTTATTCACAGCACAGCATGCAAGCAGGGGTGAGTAGTTTTATTTTCTATACAGGAGGGCATGCATTAACAGTAGAAAGAGGAGCAGGTGAGTGATGGCTGGATGGTTAGCAGACATGCATTTTTTAAACACAGGAGCGTTGGAAAGGTGAGACTGTAGAGGGCATGGGAGAAACGAAAATGGGATGAAGATTAAATTGCAGAAAAGGAAATGAACAAAAAGAACAAAACATGCAAAAACACAAACTAATAAGATCATTAAAATAATCTGATTTCAAAAGGAGAATTCTGGTTTTCATTTCACATTGTGTACGAAAGGTGTCAAGTAAGAAAGTACAAATACATCCTTACTGTACTTAAGTACATTTTTTAGGTACCTATACCTTACTTCATTACTTATTTTTCTTCTTACTTCTGACTTCTACTCATTACATTTTTACACAAGTATCTGTACTTTCCATTCCTTACATTTTTAAAACCAATGTCACTCTTGGCTTCGGTTTAATGTTTATAATATTTATTTCACGTCATGTGCGCCATCCAATGCTGATCATTGGCGCCATCCACATCTAGTGGAAACTAGTGTAATTGGATGAATCATATAACGCAAACACTCATTGGTTAGCTATTCATCAAAATCTCGCTGTTTTTTTTAAAGGTTACTTTATACTTTTAAGTAGTTTTTGGAGCACATACTTTTTCATTTTTACTTGAGTAAAGAGGTCAAGTTCATACTTCAACTTTTACCAGAGTGTTTTTAAACTGCAGCATCTATACTTCTACTTAAGTAACAATTGTTTGTACTTTTGACACCACTGTGTATGACTGTAATGATCACTTTAACAATATTCGACTTTTCCTGACCTGAAGTGAAACGCAAACAAACTGACTTAGTGTCAAAGTTTGGCATCCGGCCACAACAAGTTTTCTTAACGAGACAAACATTGCCAAAGTGAACGTTTTAACCCTCCACCTAATGCTGCTTACTGCCAGTCAGCTGGCTAAATACTTTTCGTCTTTGATCGGGTCACAAGGGCAGGGGTCTCAATAGAGACTCTCCTCTCCCCAGACACCTCCACCAGCTTTGCTTGGGGAAGCCTGAGGAGCTGCCCGGGTCAGCACAGAGACATAATCTGTCCAGTGTGTCCTGGGTCGTCCCCTGGGCCTCTTCTCGATGAGACTAGCCTGGAACACCTTCCTAAAGAGGCGTCCAGGGCAGAGCATGTGAGCGGAGCGTGGAGCGAGCATCTGAGCGGGGCGGAAGAAATAAGGTGGAGCGCAGAGCGGTTTTCAATTCAAAGCCCGGAGCGAGGATTTCACTCCGCTCCAGTTCACTCCGATGCACTCACAGAAATCAATCAAAGTCAATAGAATAGTATTTATTTTAATTCATGTTTGACTTAAAACCTAGGCCAATGTCTATGTTGTAGTCTGTGCCTATAATCTGTTATAGTCTATGCTTCAAATTTACCACAGAATCACTGATACGAGGATTGTATACTGTGTGATAAAAGTGTGATAAAATATCATAAAAACAAACACTAACTATACATAACAATACAGAGTGGGTTTACAAAAAGTGATCGTTGTAGTAAAAGCCTGTGTTTGAAAATGGATCGCATACATTATACGCTATTATCTCATTTGCAATGGGATGCCAACTGACCTTTTTATTGTAGTCAAGTAAAATAAATTAATAATTAAATAGGAAGGGCAACATGAATGGAGCGAGGTGTTACGTTCACAGCTGGGAAACAGTGCGATAACTAAACAGCCAGTTAAATAAGACAATACTAATATATGGGTCACATCATTAAATGAAACGCTGTGTGTCCCAGGCGCCTGGCATAATTACACGAAGGAAAAATGTCAGAAAATGCCTTCTGAAAATTGAGCACGCATGAAACAATTTCGCTTGAGCGGCAGGAAAATTAAGGTGAGCACGGAGCCAATTTTGAGCCGGGCGTCGTGGCGCAAGTTTTGAGCGGCAGATCGAATGAGCGAGCACCCTCCTGAGCGGGAGTTGCGCGGTGCGGCGCTCCGCTCCGTTCACATGCTGTGGTCCAGGGGGCATCTGAAAAAGATGTCTTAGCCACATTAGCTGACTCCTTTCGATGTGGAGGAGAACCAGCTCTACTCTGCGCCCCTCTGAATGACGGAGCTCCTCAGCCTATCTCTAAGAGAAAGCCCAGATACCCTTGAGGAGAAAGCTCATTTCAGCTGCTTGTATCTGGGATCTCCTTCTTTCGGTCATGATCCAGATTTCATGAGCATAGGTGAGGGTAGAAAAGTAGACCAACCACTAAAACCAGAGCTTTCCCTTTTCACTCCCTCTTCACCGCAACAGATTGGTGCATCCTCTGCATTATAGCAGCAGCCGCACCAATCCCTCTAT